GTGCTCGCCGGCCAACCGGGAAGCTGCGGCAGCCGCCCGGTCTCGGGGCACGGCTGGGTCTGTCCTGCGGCGCGGGGAGGGGGGGGGTCGAGCAGAAGACGTCCGGACACAAACCCTGCGGTCAAAACTCGCCCTCCTTTCTGCAGCCTTTCTCCTCACCGCTGGGTGACCTCTGCTGTAGTCATTGGGACCAGCAGAAGAAATCTCTGCTCTCCTTTCCCCCGGGCTTTGTGTAGCACAAAAAAGTTTGAAATGTGCCAGGTTGACAAGGTTACTAATGTTTGTAGGGGAAAACTTTAAAGTTTTCTTTTGAGGAGTTAAAAAAAAAATCCCCCCCTAAACTATATCTATTTTGAAAGGTAAAAGAGCCAAAGGACAGCTCTGCTTCGAGTTTGCCAGCTTCCCATTTGTCACTGATCTGCTTTCCGAGGTTTGAGTCGTGCTGGCCAGCTCTGATGCAAGACGCCCGTGGTGGTGTAATCGTTGTCAGCCCGGACCTGCCCAGTCACCTTGAGGAAGCTGACGCCTGGTCCTCCTGCTTCGTGCAGCAGCAGCAGCAGTTACTGGACAGCCAACGTCTCCTGGTTGCACATCGCAAGCCTGGCCGTGCTGTGGATTCAGAAGGTCCCTCCTTGGGTAAGGAGATAAAAATGTTCATTTAAATCCTGTATTTTACTGACACGCTTTTATTCGGAAGCTGGTGATGTTTCCTGACCTTTGCACTTCTATAGTCCTTTGTACTTGATGAGAGGGTTTTGCAGACCTGAACAATCTGATTTCTCTCAGTCCGTCTATATACACGTTATAACCATCTTACAGATGGGAGAAGCATTTGAGTGATTTGCACAAGGTTATTCATTGAATCTCAGTCAGAACCAAGTAAAACGCTCCTGATTAAACTGCACTTCTTCAGTTTGCTTGAGAGCTTCTTACTTTTTATCGTCCTTCTGTCTTATCTCTTTACAAATTGTTTTAGTGATGTTTTAAATCAGAATTTTATAGGCAAAAGAAAAGGAGTTCATTGAAATCAGAAAATATCTTCCTTGTGTTTAAAAGGTCTCATGTTTCCGGCTAGGTGATTATCCAGCCTCCTTTTGAAGACCCCCAGAGTAGGAGCGAGCACCACTTCCCTTGGAAGTTGGTTCCAGATCCTAGCCACCCTGACTGTGAAGTAGTGCCTCCTGGTGTCCAGCCTGAACCTACTCTCAGTCAACTCATGGCCGTTATTCCTAGTTACTCCTGGTAATGCTTGGGGGAAGAGGGTCTCTCCCGCTCCCCGCTGGTCCCCCTTGGTAAGTTTATAGATGGCCACCAGGTCCCCTCTCAGCCTTCTCTTGTGGAGGCTGAACAGGTTCAGGTCCCATAGCCTCTCCTCGTAGGGTCTGCCCTGCTGCCCCCTGATCATGCGAGTGGCTCTCCTCTGGACCCTCTTGATGCTGTCCACATGCCTCCTGAAGTGCGGCGCCCAGAGCTGGATGCAGTACTCCAACTGCGGCCTGACCAATGCCTCATAGAGGGGGAGGATCACCTCCTTGGACCTGCTTGAGATGCATCTTTGGATACATGACAAGGTGCAGTTGGCCCTACTGACCGCATCCTCAATCATGACTCCAAGATCCTTTTCTGCCTTTGCACTGACGAGAAGGGAGTTCCCCAGCGTGTAGTAGGTCTGCTGCTGGTTCTTTGTCCCCAGGTGCAGTACCTTTCACTTGTCAGTATTGAAACCCATCCTGTTCTCATCCGCCCACTCTTGTAACCTGTCCAGGTTTAGTTGTAGCCTGTCCCTCCCTGCTAACATGCCCACCTCTCCCTACATCTTAGTGTCATCCGCGAACTTGGACAAGGTGGTGAAAAGCACCTTGTCCAAGTTGCTGATGAAGATGTTGAACAGTGCGGGCCTGAGGACCAAGCCCTGGGGAACCCCACTGCCCACATCCCTCCAGGTCAAAAATGACCCGTCCACTACCACTCTCTGGGTGTGGCCCTCCAGCCAATTTGTGACCCATCTGACTGTGTAGGCATTGCCGCCACAGTTGCCTAATGTTTTGATGAGAATGGGGTGAGAGACAGTGTTGAAGGCCTTCCTAAACTCCAGAAGGACTACGTCCACTGTGACACCGGCGTCCAAGGATTTTGTGATCTGGTCGTAGAAGGCACCCAGGATGGTCTGACAGGACCTGCCCCTAATGAACCCATGCTGGTTACCCTTGAGCAACCTCCCCCCTAATGGTCCTTCCCAGATGTGCCACTGGATAATTTTCCCAAAGAGTTTCCCCAGGACCGAGGTAAGACTAAAAGGCCTATAGTTTCCTAGGTCCTCCTTCCTCCCTTTTTTTGAAAATGGGGACCACATTGGCCCTTTTCCAATCCTCTGTCACCTCGCCAGGGCACCATGAGTGCTCGTAGAGCTGTGCCAGGAGTCCCGCAATGACCTCTGCCAATGCCCTCAACACCCTTGGGTGGAGATCATCTGGACCTGCCAATTTGAAGATGTCCAGTCCCACCAGAAGTCCCCTGACCAGGTCCTCTCTGACCCTGGGCCCGCTTGTGCCTCTCCTGAGTTTGTCTGGGATTCGGGGGGGGTTCCGGGGGGGGGGGGATGCCCTGGTCCCTACTCAGAAATATGGAGGCAAACAATTTTTGTTAAAGAGGTCAGCTTTATCATCTGGTGCAACCACCGGATTGCCAAGCGTGTCCTGCAGGTGCCCCACATTACCCGGTGCCGCCTCCTTACTCCCTATGTATTTAAAAAATGATTTCTTGTTGTTTAGTCCCAGTTCTGTGTCCGCCTTAGCCTTCCTAACAGCCCCCTACAGTCTCGAGCAATGGAGGTGTAATCCTCCTTGGTGATAGCCCCTCCCTTCCACTGGGTGTACGCCTCCTTTTTAGCTTTCAGACGTTCCTGAATGCCTTTGGTGAGCCATGGGAGCTTTTGAGCACTCTTGCCCGCTTTGACTCACATTGGGATTGTCGCCCTTTTGGGCTCGGAGTATTGTCTCCTTAAGGAATGACCACTCCTCTTGGACTACCAGCTCCGCTCCCCTCTGGGACCTCAGTGCCTCCCCGACTAATCTCCTTAATTCATTGAAATCGGCCCTCCTGAAGTCCAGGGCTGCTGCCTTGCTGCAGGCCTTTGACACCCTGCGCTGGATGGTGAATTCCAGCAGGCGATGATCGCTATCGCCCAGGTGGTCAAGAACCCGCAGACCCGTCACCGGGTCATCGCGTGTGGCCAGGACCAGGTCCAGCAAGGCATTTCCCCTGGTGGGACTGTGCACCTCCTGGGTTAGGTGGAGGTTCTGTATCTTGGCTAGGAACCTACGTGAGCGGTCAGATCTGGCTGACTGCTCTTCCCAGCACATGTCTGGATCGTTTAGGTCACCCATGATGACCGCGTTCCTTGACTTAACTGCCTCCGTGAGCTGACCTGAGAATTCCCGGTCCAGCTCTTTCGCTTGGTTGGGTGGTCTGTAGTAGACCCCCACTGTGAAGTCCCTTTCCCCCTGACCCTCTTGTATTCTGACCCAGAGCACTTCAGTCTGTCCCTCATCTAACCCCGTGCTGTTTGTTGAGAATATGTATTGCTCTTTGATGTAGAGCACCACACCCCTGCCTTTCCTCCCTGTTCTATCCCTCCTGTACAGTCTGTAGCCCTTGTTGTTTACCGCCCAGTCGTGGGTTGAATCCCACCACGTTTCAGTGAGCCCCACTATGTCCGGGTTTGTGTCACCTAGCAGGAGGGCAAGTTCGTCCTGCTTGTTCCCCATACTATGTGCATTAGTGTAGAGGCATTTAAGGGCTCCTGTGGGTGTATGCTTCGCCCCCCTGAACCCAGGACTATCTGGACCCCTGCCACTTACCTGGGTACTTTTTGTGCTCGTCACCTGTCGTGGCTGGGAAGTGTCATCATTTCCCCCTGTGGCCCCATCCCCTGGCGAAGCTAGTTTAAAGGTAATGCACATACTTCTATATAAAAATTATTTGAGGCTACTTGGTCCTCAGGAGAATACATTGCTTCGTGGAGCTGGAAACAGAGATGAATTACAAATGAAACAACGTGACGCTCCTCTTTTAATTTGTTTCACCTCAGTATAACTGATTCCAAAGGAATTGCTCTGAGTTGCACATTGTGAGAAGCAAATCATCCCCCAGCTTTTCTGATGGAGGAAGATGACTGCATGCATGAGACAGAGAGAGACCTTCTCAAAATTCCCCTTTTAACTTGGCTTTACTACAGGAGTTTCAAACCTGCCACTAGCAATGACTAACATTAAGGAACGTAGAGGAAAAGACATTGTCTGAATCGTAGAGGTCTGATAGTGTCGATTGCTGTATTCTACGGAAAGGCTATAAATGTTTATTCTAATATAATAAAAGCCTTTGTCTGTCTGTCTGTCCATAACACTCTGGGCCAACTGCGCCTGTACCTTCGAGAGGTCATGTGCCGATTGGCTGCGAGGGCCCAAAGCGTTACAGCCAGAGGGTGCAAGGGAGCCGCTGAGCTGTGCCGCCTCCCCTCCCCTTCCCCCTTCCCCTTCAAGCAACAGCCGGCAGAGAGGAAGGGGAAGAGGGGGCTTCTGGTGGCAGCGTCCCCACGGGATGCTGGGTGGTAGTACTCCGTTCTGCACCCTCCATCATTCATGATGGGCAATTGGCTAGTAGCACAATAAAACTAAAAAGTAATCCTGGAAAATGTTAAGTCCATGCACGAAAAATGACACAAAATTGTCAGACTGGAATAGAAGAGTCTCAGGAATCACTTCCGCATTACAGCAAATAAAACTTTCCTTAACCTGTCCAATATGTTTATTATAATTATTTTCCATCAGTGCTCCTTATCCAAAGTGGAAAGGGAAAGTTTTCTTCTAAAACTCAAAAGCAAAAATGTCAGTCTTGACAACAAAGGCTGAAGGGATTTAATCCATCAAAGAGATTAACTGAATTACTATGTAGTGACGATGCATCACATAAGGGAAAGTTTTCTTCTAAAACTCAAAAGCAGAAATGTCGGTCTTGACAACAAAGGCTGAAGGGATTTCATCCATCAAAGAGATTAACTGAATTACTATGTAGTGACGATGCATCACATGTTTAATATTATCTATCATGCTGGACATCAGCACTTGTGCAGAAAAGGATTCCAAATAGCTTGTTCAGTGTGAACTGTCCTATGAACTCAAAACTATAAGTGTATTTCTTTGTCAAAATGAATATATCTAATTATTTTTTTGCTTCACTTCAAAGCTGCACCGCTGAACAAACTGAAACTAGTACAGTCCAGCCTGGAAGAAGACCCTGAAGACGTTCGGATTGAATTTATGAAATACTTCAAAAGCATTGTCAACTTGCTAAATGAAAGCAGAGCTAGGGAAGAGGTGTCAATTATCACGTAATGCTGAAAGAAAGAATAAAGAGAGAGAGAAAGCGAGTACTGTTTGCAGTTTGAGATCTGCCCTAGCCAAGAAATAACTCTAGAACTTATCTTGTTAAGGAGAGTTTGCCAGTGGATAAACACTATAAGAATAGTTTGTGAGTGATTTTCCCCAAGAGAAAATAGATGCACAGCTTAAGACTCCTCAAGAGACTGAAGGCTGAATTCAGATGAACTGTTATCCAAAAGATTTGGCTGTAAATCCAGGAATGCAAGTAACTTTAGCTGTCCCCTGACCAGGTGTGTTACTGGATAAAGTTCAAGAAGGTGTCTTCTAATATGTCTGTGTGGACCCAGCTAATTAACTATATATTTAGTTTGTGAAAACATTAAGAATTTGGCTAGTTCTTAATTGACTCACTTAAGAAGGTTCTCATCTTTTTCCAGAAAAAGCTAAATGAATGGGCCAGGCAGAACATAAGTTTTAGGAATCTGTGTTTAAGCACTTGGGTAATGTGTCTATGGCAGCTGTGCTGTTACTTGGAGAAAATATGCTTTTGGATGTCAGTAGAAACTGGTTGGAACTGAGATGTGAGCATTAAGTCTCCGGTGAAATCTATATTTTAATGTCCCCAAATCTCCTCACCTCTCTCCAGCATCTGAAGAGCATATCATTTTACAGGCTTGTGTTCTGGCAAGATAGAATAAACTGCAACCTTTATTCTGACAAGCCTTTCCATCCACTGCAACAAAACTCCCATATTTACTCAATTAGCAGCAGTGTGGAGCTGGCACTGCTGTTCCAGCGCTGTACAGCCCTGTAGCGAGTGGCAGGGAGCTGCTACTGCTGCTGCTCTGGGGCCAGGCTCCGCAGTTCCATCCACTGCAACAAAACTCCCATATTTACTCAATTAGCAGCAGTGTGGAGCTGGCACTGCTGTTCCAGCGCTGTACAGCCCTGTAGCGAGTGGCAGGGAGCTGCTACTGCTGCTGCTCTGGGGCCAGGCTCCGCAGTGCTGGCATGGGGCAGGCTGGAGCCATGCTCCATGCCCTGGGCTGCAGCAGGGACAGAAGCTGGTTCAGAGCAAAGATCAGGGTGGAGGGCTGAGGGGCAGGCAGGGGGAGAGAGACTTCAGGAGGGGGAGAGGTGGGAGGAAGTGGGGCAGGGATCTGAGGCTATGGGTGACAGAAGTGGTGTGCAGGGGGAAATGGGGAAAGCGGGAATTGGGGCAACCTGAGGCTGTGGCGGAGGGACTGGTATGGGGGATGGGCAGTAAGCTGCCTGCCTCCCTCACTGTCTGCCCCCTATCACCTGCCCCCTACTGCCTCTCCCACTGTCTGTTCCCTACCAACTGCCCCACTACTGCCTCCTCATCACTTTTCTTCCCCACCACCTGTAGTAGCGGGGAGGGAGACATTTAAGATGATCCTCCAATAATTAGATTCCACACATGGAAAATTATAATAAATTTATACATTTTCTGTATGTAAAATCTAATTATTGGGGGGGCATCTTGTATTTGAGTAACTATGGTAGTCTTGTTGTCGGTGACAATGCTTAGGTCCCTCTCTGGGAGGCAAACATTTTGAATCCCATTCCAGCTAGATCATTTTGCCCTAACACAGAGACTGAAAGGGAAAACGTCTTGCATTCTCTGGATGAGGGAAAGATGTTTTTAAAATGTATTTTCTTGTTCTCTGCTGCATTGAAATTATTGGTTTCTTGGGGACCTCGGTGTTTGATTTGTTTTGGTTACACTCAGGCTCCCTCTGTTTGGTGTGTGTTGTGAAAGACAGCCATCTTTTTCCTATGATATGTACCACAAACTCAACTAACACTTTTTTTTAAATGCGTCTGTCTTGTTCTGAAAGTGAAAGCTAAGCAGGGATTGTCACCCTCTTGGAAATCCAACTGTCTTGCTTCATTTGTTGACAAAGCTACAGTCTTTCTGGTCAGCTTTTTTATTTCATACAAATGCTCCAAAACCAAAATGCTGTGCTTAACTAATTGATGTTAGAGTTAACTAGCTAAAGTGGAGGTAATTTATGGCATGGATAATTTTTTTTTAATGGGGAATGTGAAGAAATAGACATAAGGTGGCGGAGTAGAAACAGAAATTGTAGAAATGCTTGTAATGTATCCCACTGGTGTAGCTCTTGTTTCTGAAAAGCTGTTACTTGGGAGCTATATCATGCATACATCAGTTTCTGGAGGAGAGTTTATTGGCTTTCTAGCAGGGTTTGACCCCAAATCTTTTATGATTGTGTTTGAGCTACAGGTATATTACTGATACAAAATAGTTGTTTTGAAGTTTTGTCAGAAGAAGCTGTCAGTGAGGGTGTCTTGCTCCTGACCATCAAGGTTTAATGAACTGCATGTCACACCCCCTGTGTAGGTCTCGCCTCTAGCCAGAATCTTTCTTGGGATGGGAACCCATGTTCCCCTCCCCTCTGGACCAGGATTTTAGTTTGCAATCCCTTTGTAATTTACTGTGACCATCTTGGCTGAGTTTAGCTCAGTTTATTATTTCCTTAGAACGTGCATTTATTTAGAGCAAATCATTGCAAAGAAAGTCTGAAACAATGAATTTGAAATGAGAATACCCATCATCTGCATAGATGCCTAGTGGGTACAGTACTCGGATTTGTCAGTTCTTAAATTATTGGGTATCTGTTCCAGAACAGGTCTTTTTTTTTTTTATGCCAGTTTTTAAGAAACTTATTTTACCAGCCATCTAGAACCAGGTAGCCCCTCACCACCCCACTCCTCCCCATCATTGCTATTTTTCTAGGTATGAAGCTTCAAAAGGCTAGGTATACTAGCATATACACATAACCACACATACATACTAACAGCCATCTTCATACGTACTACCAGCAAACCCAAACTCACAAAAAATCAACCATGTTTCTCATCTTGTGGGTTGTCTAATTTATTGTGAGCCATCCTAGACCAATGTGGGATGGGATGGGATATAAACCAAATATTTAACAATAATAATAATAATAATAATCTACATGAATACCATTGGGAATTTGTATTTATTACCCCACACACAAACTAACAAAGCTAAGTCAAACATCCTTCCTTTTCTCAGCTTATCTAAAATGTTTTCAGGCAGTCCTGTGTCTCTCTTTAGTCTTAAATTTGCAGAGTGCTTATTTTATCTTAGAAGCTTTGGAAAAAGACAGGGGGGTACAGGATGCAGCAGGCTGACAATGATTAGCTGTTTCTGGCTGTTTGAAAATTAAGCTTGCTTTTTTTTTTTTGTTCCTCCTTTGAGAGAAGCTTTTTCAAAGTCATTTTCATATACTGTTTCAGGAATTTCAGCATCATACTTCTAATCAGGGGCAGTACAAACATATAGTCTGAAAGTTCTTCTATTGTTTGTATTCTTGACTTCCCCTGAACAATCTTCTCTTTGAACATTAAATTTTGTTCAGGATTAAAAATATTAAGACATAAGAAAAAGAGGACTTACCTTAAAGCATTCAGCTGAAAGATGGCAACAGATAACCTACCAACCAATGCTGGGCCAGACAGGGACTTTGTAGGATTCATGTACGACTCCTGCAAAAAGCCTAAGCAGGTTGGTCAGGCTAGTGGCAAAACTGAATGAGTGAAGCCAATGCCAAGGGCAAGCAGTGTTCTTTATCTGGTGTGCACGTCTTGCTGCCAGCATTTGCTGCCATTGCTTCTTTTTGGTAAAGCTGGCTCTATGCCCTTTTTCTGCCAATAAAGCTCCACTCATCCATGAAAAGAAAAGCAAGTATTGACAGAAAAAAAAAATCGGGACAGAGAAGTTTCACTCCAAAAATAGAAAGCCAAGAACTAAGCAGAGAGATGAGGCAAGTGAAGGAAAAGAAAAGCGGAGGTGGTCAGAATTCAGAAAGTTCAGTTTTATTTTTAAACTTTTTGAAGTTCATAGATTCATAGACATTAGGGCTGGAAGGGACCTCGGAAGATCATAGGGTCCAGCCCCCTGCCCCGATGGCAGGAAGTCAGCTAGGGTCAAAGGATCCCAGGAAGATAAGTGTCCAACGTTTCATAAAAGAGTCCAGAGTAGGTGCTTGCACCACCTCGGGAGGGAGTGTATTCCAGGCCGCTGGGGGGTTGGGGGGGGGCTCGGACAGTAAAGAAGTTTTTCCTTATATCCAGCTTAAAATGTTCTTGGAGGAGTTTGTGACCGTTGGATCTTGTCATCCCTTGGGACGCTCTGGTGAACAGATGTCCCAGATCCTGATGCCCACCCCTTATATACTTACAGGCTGCCACCAGGTCCCCCCTGAGCCTGCGCTTCTCCAGGCTGAAGAGTCCCATGGCTCTCAGCCTGTCTTCATAAGGCCTGTTCTCTTGCCCTCTGATCATGTGCGTGGCTCTCCTGTGGACTCTCTCAAGCTTCTCCACATCCTTCTTGAAGTGTGGAGCCCAGAATTGGATGCAGTACTCCAGCTGCGGCCTCACCAAGGCCAAGTACAGCGGATGGATGACATCCTGAGATTTACTTGAGAAGCATCTATGGATGCAAGCCAGAGTTCTGTTCGCTTTACTAGCTGTGACATTGCATTGGTGACTCGTTCGTCTTGTGATCAGTTGTGACCCAAGTCTCTTTCAGCTGTGGTGCTAGCGAGCGTAGCACTGCCGAGCCTATAAGCGTGCTGCGAGGTTTTTTTTCCCCAAGGTGGAGTACCTTGCATTTTTTCAAATTGGAGACCATCAGGTTTATATCCGCCCACTTTCTAAGCCTATTCAGGTCAGCCTAGACCACCAGCCTATCCTCAGGTGTGGATGCTGTACACCAAAGTTTAGCGTCGTCGTTGAATTTGGCCAGTCCACTTCTGACACCAGTGTCCACATTGTTAATAAAGATGTTAAAGAGTACAGGTCCAAGGATGGAGCCTTGGGGGACACCACTGGTCATGGAGCACCATGATGATTCACTTCTGTCAACTATCACTCTCTGGGTCCGACTTCAGAGCCAATTCCCCAGCCATTGGACTGTGATATAGCCGAGACCACAGTTGGCCAATTTTTCCATGAGGAGATCGTGGGACACCAGATGAAAGGCTTTTTTGAAGTCCAGATATATGACGTCAATCTCTCCTCTCTTGTCCAGGTGCTATGTCACCTGGTCATAGAAGGAAATGAGATTGGTCAGGCAAGACCTACCCTCAACAAGACCTGTGCCGCAGGATGCTGCCATCACCCAGCTTGTCAAGAATGGTCTCTTTGATAATTTTTTCTACAATTTTCCCAGGGATTGAGGTCAAGCTAATTGGCCTATAGTTCCCTGGGTCTACTTTTACTCTCTTTCTTGAAGATGGGCACCACATTGGTCTTCTTCCCATCTTTGGGTACGTCACGTGAGTGCCACGAGTTTTCAGATACCTTGGCAATGGCTGGGCTATGACACCTGCCAGCTCCTAAAGTACTCGGGTTGCAGTCTGTCTAGACCAGCTGACTTGAAGGTGTCCAGCCTCTCAAGATGTTCCTTTACAAGGTCCATACCAATGCTGGGTATAAATTCACCCGCACCCTGGCTGTCCTGCACCATGCTAGGCAGGGCGGTCCCTTTGAGCTGATGAAAAACACACATGGAGTTAAGCAGGTTGGCTTTTTCCTGGATGTGGATTGTCGGTTGTCCCGTCTGGTTTATCAGGGGTCCAGCGTTACCCTTGCTATTCTTCCGACTCCCCACATATCTGAAAAAGGACTTTTTATTGTCCTTGATATATGTAGCCAGTTGGAGTTTGGTTGCAGCCTTGGCTTTCCTGGTTTGCTCCCTACAGATACGGACCAGCGCAGAATACTCCTCCTTAGTGGTGATTCCTATGGATCCTTCCATCCTTTATAAGCCTCTCTTTTTATGCATAGGAGGTTCACAAGTCCCCTGATGAGCCAAGGGGGTTGCCCCTTTGCTACTTTTCCTCCAAGATGGGATGGGATAGACAGCCCTTGTGCTTTCAGGATCGCTCCCTTAAGGAGCAACCACTCCTCTTGGACTCCCCTCCCTGTCAAGTCATGGCCTCTTAGGGCCTCAACAACAAGCCTCCTGAGCTTATCAAAGTCAGCTTTCCTAAAGTGAAGGACTTCTGCATTGCTGACTTGCCAGCTTTCAGATGGATAGTACAAGCGATCAGTTCATGGTCACTGTCTCCCAGCTTTTCTGCAATTCTTAGGTCACTGACTAGATCATCCCTTTTAGCCAGTACCAGGTCCAGCAGCGCTTTACCTCCTGTTGCTGCATAGACTTCCTGAGTCAGGTACAGCTTGTCCACGCACATGAAGTTTTGTGACCATTCAAGGTATGTATGTTTGCAATCAGTGACAAAAGGGGATCTCGCAGAAACAGACATCTGACAACTTCTGTCCCCCCGGCTCCCCACCACCCATGGGTTGCCTAGCACCTTCTCGCCATATGCAAAGTGGGAAGCCTGGCTCCCTCCCCACCCAGCCATGTGCACCACACAGTCAGCCCTGCAACACTGGCAGCCTAGCTCCCTCCCACCTTGCGTACCTACCAGAGGTAGCCCAACTGCCTTTGCCATACAAGCAGCTCAGGCATTGCAGCACTCTCCCAGCTACAGGGGCAGGAGCACCTGGGGAGGGTGGGGGAGGAGTGGCGGGGGTGCCTGTAGGCTTTATGCTAACCCTTTGGAAGGGAAGCCACGTGTGGCCCATGGGCCACCAGTTGGACAGCCCTGGCCTAACTGAAGAACAGATATATTTGATGCTGTTGTAGATTATTTTCCCCTTACCCACCTGTGCAGTGTACAAGGCAATGTTTCAAACAAGTACTGTCCTAAAAAAACATTTTCATGGCAGCAACACTGCTATTTTACCCATCAGTCTTCCAGCCATTATACACTATGGTGTGTATTACTGACATGTAATTTGAGTCCCACCAAATTGACTTGAGACTGTAAGCTAGTTTTTGAGTGATTCCAGATTTAAAAAGTTAGTGGACTCACCCACTCACCTGAGAGAGAACAGAAGTGAAGGTGCTGAGCTAATTTTACATCTGAGATTATGACGGTGATTGCATGGGGACTGAAACCTAAAATCTAGAGGGAAGGGAATAGGGGTTCCTATTCCAGGAAAGATGTTGGCTAGAGTCTTGAGGTCCAAATGAGATGCTCTGGAGGAGATGACGCAGGGGCTGGAGGTGTACTGTGACACACATTGTTAAACCTTGACTGTCAGGATTAAGAGATTATAGCTAACAGCCTCTTCTGGCTAAAGTCCACAGTAATTATCATGTACTTGTAAATTCAAACATAACCAGGGGGCAGGGGGACAAATACAAAATCTCCTCCAGAAACTGATTGATGCCTGACACTGCTCTCCATGAACAGGTTTTAAAACAGGGCTATGGCTGTGTGGAAAGGAAGCAACAGAAAACAGGCAATCTCCTCAGCATCCTCCTCCAAAACTGGACAATTTACAGCAAAAGCTCTTTTCCCTTTTGGGTCACCACCACTATACCTGGGAATTTCAAAAAGATTTTTGGGCATCATTCTGGGAAGCCATTACGGCTGTGCAAAGCTTCAGGTGGTGATTCAATTCAGAGGAGATTCAGCCCGATTCGGTGGCCGAACCTCCGAATCCCAGTTGAATCAGGGAACCAATTTAAAGGTCCAAATCGATTCAAAGCTCTCTGAATCTTCGGAAAAGATTCGGAGAGCTTTGGTTCGGGCAGTCCCTGTGCTGCAGCAGGGGGCTGCAACCGACTCCAAGCTGGTAAGTACTAGGGGTGGTGGGAGGGGGAGCTGGAGGAGGGGACCATGGGGGGACTCCTGCCAGCCCCCGACTCCCCCCTGC